AAGGCAGCTGGCAGCTGCTCGGGGCTCTTCACCAGAAATGTGGCGAGGTTGGACCCGGGGCACGCGGTGATGTTGGTGCCGCTTGGGCGGTCTGCGTGGCGGGCAGCGGCAGACTGGCTGGAACCCATGGCGCCTGTGGATCGGAGGAAAAAATGGCGATAGCAGCAGCCTAACCTTTCCTTTGCAGGCCAAAGTCCACATCAAGGGTAAGAGCTGCCTCCAACACAAACCCGACTCAGCTGGACTGGACTGGCCTGGCGGAGCTGAGGCCCTAAGTCCTGGCATGTGTCAGAACACCACCAATCTACATTTTTTTGATGAAAACTGTCCGAAAATGATTGCTTCCTGATATGAGCCATAAGTAACTCCTAGCTTCCACCGTCATATATCCCTATAAGAGTCCCCCATTTTCTCTCCTATAGTATCCCCCTGCGGAGTTTAGACTATAGCTCATAGAATACGTATACCCCTAGGACCTGGCCCCAAGCCCTGCACACAGCATCAAAAAATCCATCAGAATGTCCACCCTCATCCACTGTATGCCAAGTTGCAGTGTATCCTTTGAGACATCTTTTGAAAGCCTTGGCCAGCCCATTTTCCAAGAAATACCAATATCCTTTGCCCATCTCATTCTGAAAACCACAGGAAGACCAGTAAGATCACCATGTTCCTCATTTACTCTGCAGCTTGGCGTTCGCCACGAAAGAACAACATAAGGCCCACAACAATGACATATCACCCTCAATCTCCTCAGTAGCTGATTTTTCACATCTCGTAACAACGCCGCACCGCATGTGATTTGGAAATGTTGCGCGGGTGGCTTCGGCAAGGAGACTCGCTGAAACTCATCATTCATCGAATCAGCAACTCGGTTTCAATGCCATTTCCCATCCACGTTCAAGACTAACAAAAGCATATGGAGTCTCCCAAAATTATGAGTACCTGACTAGGGGCCCTCATATAAGGATCATTGTATGTTGGGGAGTCTATATTGGGGTCTCTCTATTATGGCAACTACCATGTGGTGCTACCACGGTCCTGCAGTCCCTAGACCATAAACCCCAAACCCCATGGGTTGTTCTGAAAATCATGGGCCCCTTTTTAAGTACGGCACCTAATATTTACGGGTACCTAAATGGGAACCTAACTTTGGGAACTACCTATGAAGCCAAAGGAAGCCGTCCCGTTGTCCTGCACCATCACCCCGCGCAAGGTGGCGCGGCCTGACACTTGACTTGGTGGAAGCATTCCGTCGGGCAAGGGCTCCCTGAGTCTGTTATGGTTTTTGGGTAAAGGATTTTAATGTACGACCCAAAAGAACTACACGGAGGGGTCTGGGTATGATTATTATGACTGTTATTATTTTCTCCGCCTCTCCTTATTATTATTTTACTACTACTACTACTACTACTACTACTACTGTTTCTGTTAACTCTACTAGTAGTAGTAGTAGTAGTAGTAGTACTGCTATCATTATTATCATTGTTGTTGTTCTTGCTACTATTATTGCTCTCATAGCAGTATCATGTAACAAAGGCAATCGCCTCGATTCGTGATCGAACCTCAGACAGCATGATTTTCAGCTGCACATCATCGCCAGATGTCGCCAGCATCAGCCAAATCCGCTGTTGGTCAGCAACCTGCACAGGGAGTCCCGAGATAGCTTCTGCATTATGTCTTTGGCTTCCTGCTGAGAGCAGTTGAATAATCTTTTTCACATTCCTGAGTCCTAAGTTCAGTCGAAGCTGAATAATTGACGCTGTTAATTACACTCCACATGTTGCCCTGCACCTGCACGACAACGCCATGATCCCGTGGTACTAATAATTACTGCACATCTCTCCATGTCCCCCAAAACACAACGCCACTTTTGGGGAATAATGCAAATCAGGGGCGGGCGGGGAGTTTGGGGCATAGCCGGGCTACTACATTAAGGTTGCTTAATCTACTTCCCGATATAAGCCCTATTGAGCGCTCATTGGGCAGCAGACTCAGCAATGATGGCGTATGTCCCTGAAGCCGTCATAATCCCCCGAAAGTAGGTAACATAATGGGTTTAGGGGGTTACTAATAGAAAACACCTCAGGATCATCCTCCAGTCTTCCGCACATGCATGTATTGGGGGTGTAAAAGGATCTTGCAGCATCGGGACATTATAACATCAGCGGAGATGAAGGCAGAACGTTCCCATGCGCACTGAAAAAAAAGACCGTGGAACACAACAACACGAAGAATACGTACCGACAGTAACAATAAGCTGGCATTGCGGAATGGCTGCGCAGCACTTGAACTGAGTGGCGTTGCTAGGCAAACTGGCTTTTCAGCGTTTTGGGAAGCCACGTCGTCCGCTAATCCTACAAGAGGATTGCCGCACCATCTGTACACCACTCAAGTAGGCAGGCAATGAAAATATGGTCAGGGTCCGTGATGCGGACTTCCGACTACACAACAATGCGCCCTGTTGTGAAAGCACGTCAAATCAAACACAAGGCTTGGTGCACTCTGTCAAGATCTCTTGCCAGGTTGGCACGATTTGCAACCCTCTAACACTAAGAACGCCCCCCCCACCCTGTAATAGCGGTGTAATAGGAATATAAGAGGACCCTAATGTAATCCCTATTATCCCTTACAGTCACTATTAAGGACTGGCAGCAGGGCAGTGGGCAGCATCATCAGCTCAGGCTCATGATCTGCTGCAAGATCTATCGAGACTTTCCACTGCAGCCCCTGTCACTGCGTGCGGTGGGCTTTTATGAGTTCAGCATCTAAAAAAGTGCCAAGCTCAGGCATGCCTTCAGGAATGCCGCTACTCGCATTGGTCCAAAACCAGACTCGCCACAACTTGCGCTGCGTCCTTCCAGTGTAGCCCTCTCGGCCATGTAACATCCGGTAGTTGTCCAGAAGCAGCGCCTAGGGTTTTGGGTGGACCTTTGAATTTGGACCCTTGGGGTCTGAAAGTTTTCATTTTAGGTGACTTTTGGGGGATTTATTGTGGTGATGAGCCTCCCCTTCATGTACTGCGAAGCGATATGCTAGAGCAGTCTCTTCTTGCACGGCAATATCCACAGCCTTTAGCATCTCGCTTACATTGCGACGAAGCTGGTCATCCTCACCCTCGGGGGCTCCAAGCGGCGCCCATAAGCTTTGGTATGGGCGCAGGTCTGAACGCAGCTTGCCGTTCTCCTGGGTTGTTGTTAAGAAACTTAATTTAAGTTACTATATTAGGGAAACCATATCAATTACTACTTATACCCACTATGGTAACCTAAATCACATCAATTACTATATAAACCCATTCTGGTAACCTAAATTAAGATCCTTAACAGCAACCCAGTCTCAGCTATCGCATCCTCCAGGGCTTTGATTGATGTTTGGCGGTGAAAGCGCAGTCGATCGTGCTGCCACCACATGAGCGGACCGGCAAACTCCCTCCCATTCACCAAAGCCTGGGTTGCTGCTAAGGAACTTACTTTTAAGTTACCGTAATGGGCATATATAATGAATAAATTGAGTGTATACTAAATAAATTGAGTTTCCCCAAAAGGTAACTTAAATTTAAGTTCCTCAACAACAACCCAGAAGCTAGCGGAGCTCGCTCCGTGAAATCGACAGCAAGCGTCTGGGCCCATGAGCACATGTCATCTGCACCATCTCCGCAGAGCCGATCAACCACCTCTGGGTTGCTGTTAAGGAACGTACTTTAAGTTACTACATGGGGGAAACCATAGTAATTAATTACCGATCAGTGTAATACTACATTGAGGAAACCCTATTAGTTGCTATATAAATATATGTATACCCATTAGTGTAACTCCTACTAATTTACTATATGGGGGAAACCCACGTAATTGCTATAGATACCCATTCAAGTAACTTGAATGAAGTTCCTTAACAGCACTCCAGACCTTCTTGCCATCAACAACATAGCTCTCCCCGCCAGCGTCGGCTGGAGACTCCACCAGAAATGCGATGTAGTCGGGAAGAGAAGCGCCATAAATATATCCTAGGCTCCCAGGTGACTCAGTTAGGGTTTAGGGTTTAGGGGTTTAGGGTTTAGGGTTTCAGAAAGACTTAGTCACCAGATGACTTCCTAGGGGTGAGTAGGGCATAGGGGAATATGGTATATAGGGGTTATACAGGGAACATATTCCCTTCTTCCCTACTAGCCACCGGTAAGATCATGATAAGGGCAAACTTCTTGTTGTTGCTTCGTCCTCGCTGGAAACCCAAACCACCGCTAGGACAAAGGGTGCCATGGGCAGCTGAGTATCCATCAGTGTGTGGCAGAAGCGGCTTACCTACAAGCCCAGATGGATTGGCGGTTAAGTTTGTTGCGACCTGGGTGCGTCCCAATCAGGATTTCGGGCCAAGGTATGGGAATGACGTTGTTGAATCTCTACCTGAACCCCGAAAGTAGGTAAAATAAGAGCCCCAAATCCCTAAAAACAGCCCAAAAGGCAATTATTTTACATACTTTGGGGTTTCAGGTACTGCACTGTATGCAAATCAGGGCATCTTATGGCATCTCAGGACTTAGGCCCCATCAACCCTTGTTTGCGAGGAGCTGTCTTTGGGGGGAAGGGGATACCGGGCGTTCTCCCACACTGCAGGATATCAACTTGGGGCACCCCATATGGTGGTTTCCCATCATAGGGGACCCCAATATAGACCCTGATGTACTAGAATCCGTATTATGGGGACCCCCCATAAATACCCCTAATTTTGGGAAACCCCATATAAACCCTGCAAACCTTGAAACGTATTGACCTGCGCGTTCTCCTGGTGCACGCTCTGCACTTTGGGTGTCTTCGACACCAACCGGCCGGGAAAAACTAGAGACGGCAGCGCTGCCGCTTGTGCTTCCCACATACCTTCAGAGGCTGCCAGTCCTGAATCATTGGGTATACCCGAACCCCCAAAGTATGTAGAGCAATAATGGCCTCTTGGGCTCTTTTGAGGGGCTTCCGGCTATACTTCTACCTACTTTTGGGGTTTAGGTATGGGGTATATTGGGTCTATAGGGTATGTGGGCTATATCGGATATACGGAGCATTTAGGAATATGGAGTATGTTGGGCTTCTCGGGATGTATTTGTATGAGGTGTATGGGGCAAATTGGAATGTATGAGTATTATTGGGGGGGTCTTATTCAAATCATTTCATAATAATAGTAAAGTGGTGACAGTAGTCAATATGGTAACAAGCTAGAACCTTTATAGGGGCCTGCTTTAGTGTTGGGCCCCACCCAGCAATAGGGCCCTCAGAAAAATGGAAATTACGGTCCCTCAACTGGATTGACTTAAAAGGGAGAGGTGTTCTTCAGGCCCCAAAATCAAAACACATCAAAAGCGGATCGCACATCATCGCCGCCAGAACACATTGTAGCGAACATCAAGGTCAAAGCGGGTCCAACATTAAAGCCTAAATACCCCCAATGGCCACAATGTGTCATGACAACATACAACGGGCTGGGCCGGATATCTTAAGGTGTGCATAAGCAAGTGTGTCAAACTCCTTAGGTGTTCTTGTGTGTACCTGCATGCGTTTGAGCCTGTGCATCCTGTGGGCGAAGCGACGGGAATCTCGCATTTTGGGAGTCCAAAACTTCAAGGACAATGAGAGTGTGCGTTTAAGAAGCCCATATATCCTAGAAACAACAAGAGTTGCACGACGCATGGTGTCGAAGGCGAACAATTGACAAGGAGAACTATAGTCCAATCGTACTGCACCCGTACCGAAAATCAACATGTCGCATGCTCACGAATCCAGAGCACGGAGGTTCTTGAATTTCGCGAGCCAACCGATACTGTAACTGTAGCAACGACAGTTTTGTATTTCGTTCGCCCCCGAGGCCAACAATCGAAACAGCATTCAGTGTTTGGCAGAGCCACGAGAATCTCGCCATCTGTGATCCCTAAACTTTTTTGGAATAAGAGCTGCTAGTAGCAATCTTGATTACAAAATGTCGTCATTTTGTAAAAGTTTACCCAAGGCTCCAACGTGGCGCCTTTTTGCGCGCTATAACTTAAGTCGAACCAACTGAACTTTTGTTTATTTTGGGATGGGGGGTGTTGGGCCCAAGCATTGATCAATGTCATTAGGCCGCCCAATTCCGGAAGAGAGCTTGTCCGGGGATGATTCTGGTCGCTAGTATCTGTGATGCTCGAAGATTTCGTCCACTGGGAATTGTTGAAAAGACTGCCCTGAAAATCCTGAATAAGGATCCCACAAGTCCTTGTGCACGCCCTACATGCCCCTGGGGTGAGGTCTAGCGAATGAACAGCTATATTCATTCAGGGTGAGAGAATGGAAAGCCCCGCTGTACTGACCTGGAAGCAAGGAAAACGACTGGGGCCAGATCAGACATAAAAGGCTACCCACCCCCGTACGGTACCTGAAACCCTATTGGGTATATGGCAAAAGGACCCCCCATATACCCCATATTCCATCGACTCGAGGGGGACTATAAAACCTAAACCGATCTGCGAGCCCCCCACTTCACCTCAAATTATCCCAGGGACCTGTGAGAATCACAGCGCCATCCGCTGCCAATGCATCCTCAACTTTGCTTGTGAACCCTAAAAGTTAAACTTTCACATCTACCCTGAATATATGCATATACATGTAGGCAAACCCAACATACCCAATGAACCCTACTATATGCGCTATACCCTGTATGCCCTAACCCTAGCAGCCCAGCATCATGGATGATCGCCAACTCTCCCACGGCAACACGCTTAGGGCCTGCTAGTTGGGTGTGAAGGCTCTGCGGAATCACATTTTGTGGTTTCGTGAAATGGGAATACACACGTATGGCGCGGGAAGGGCCCCTTATCCGGAAAGTTGTTGACTGCTTTTTCCCAGATGTCTGCGAATCTGCAAGGACCAAATATATGGCTTCAGTTGATCAATGCGTGGTCGGACGAGTTCTTAAAATCCATAACTTGCGATATTACGAAACATATTATAAATAATGGGGTTTAAGTATTCTAGCAACAAATCTCCAACCTACCCAGGCCTCCTGTACAACTGGTGGCATAATTCGCCATGCAGGCTCGCGCAAGCGCAAGAAGCCACAATGGGACGCACCACCGTTCGGCCATGGCACAGGTGGTTCAGTCAGAGATTATGAGGTTTACTTAGCTGCTACAGGTTGCAAGCACGCCAGGTGAGAATGCTAAAGCAATCCAACTACTGTAGTTCCTGAAAGGGACCCCTGTCCTCCACAACCATGTGACATCATGTGACCAAGCAGACGTTTTATGGAAGCCTCTGCTAAACCAAGCTTGTGAACTCGTACTAAACACTGTCTAGTTGGAATGCCCAGCTCGCGATTTCAACCGAAGCTCTTGGCTTGAGGAATACCTGCGTGGTGGTATTGTACGATGCGATTATTCTCCACTGCAAAAGATTGAGCGGGCGGGGCCAAAAAGCGAACGATGATTGTAATATGACTGTAGCAACCAGATTGCGGCACGTGTAAATGCAGACGAATGCTTTGTGGATCCGGGGAAGGCATAGGAGGCAATTGCATGCCCCGGTAAGGTTCGCATTGTTCGGATTGGGTCTGGCAGGATCATGATCAGGGTAGGGCCGGAGGCACCGGAGACCCCGAACGGTTGAGCTGCCATCTTCTTGTGGCATCTTCTGGCATAACCATTCCCGAAACGACAGGCGCCTCCAATTCTTCTTGAAAATCCTCATGCTGCTCCTTCCACGACCCCGTACATCCCAGTACATCTCAGCTGGTGCAAGAGAACACTCAGGCAAGTCCTGCAGCAGCGCCAGCAGCCGTGTTTGAGCTGCAGGCCACGATGTGGTTGCAACATCTTGAGCATGTGGGTGAAGTCCATGCGCTCTTACGCCGAATCGAGCTCAGAAGCTCGCTGATTGAGATCTAGCGAAGGCAAATCAAGACCATTCGGCGTTTCCATGTTCTTTTCCATTATCCCTATATAATCCCTATATAACCCTAATGTAGCCCCCAACCCCTATATAACCCCTGTAGAATCCCTAGCGCAGCCAGTGCAGGGCACTGAGAAATGGAATGAATCGCGCCCGTGACGGATGATCTCCCAAGGAGTTTAGTGTGAATGACAACCCAACTGAACTAACGAACCTGGTAACCTGATCATCGAATGCAATTGCGTCGCTACCAGTCGGCTACCACGCGCTTCTTCCTGAGCCTGACATGTCACAATGCCTGGCTACATGGTAGCGAGCCGAAATGGAAAACGTACCAAAAATTGCAGACCTGCGCCGCAGGTTGTACTTGAAACATCCCCTTTCCAAGAACCAAAGGGTCACCTATCACTAGCCCCTATAGACCCTAAACCCTGTATTCCCCTAAACCATATCACCCCAATATGACCTCAATAGAACCCCAATAGAACCCTAATAGACCCCAATATTACACCAATAGAACCCCAGTAGAACCCAAATAGCACCCTAATAGAAAACACCTCACCGTTTGCAAGGTCAGCTCCATTTCCTCTGCCACCAAACGGCCACCGGAAACTCAATGCACTACAATGTCAGACGGGAGCCCTGACACTACATGTTGAACGAGTGCAATCTTGCCCTAGACTAATGGTGCAAGTAGCCTAATGGTACCCTAAACCCATCTAAACCCTAAACCCTGATAATATGGCTTCAGGGTACCTAAAGCCCCAATATTTAGGTACAAGGACCCTTAGGGCACACATTATCCCAAGCGATACGATTAGCGGCTAGCGGGCTACACTAGCCGAGCCAACCCAAACTTTCATGGGAGGGGGGGGGGGGTTTTCAAGGGGGGGAGGGTACTAGGGAGCCTTAAGGAACCTTAGGGAATGTTGGGGAGTAACCGAAACTACTAGGTTACCTACCCCCTTTGGACCAACCCCCAAGACTTGGGGTACTATATTACAATCCCTTAACGAAACCATAACAGACCCAAGAAGGAACTACCTAGGAGGCCTTGGGTAGCGTGCTCGAGCCCACTCGCAGTTGCAGAACGCTTATGTTGAGCCTGAGTCTTTTTCCCTTGCTAACAAGGTAAAAAGGTTCCGATCGCGCCACGCATACTCTGTTTCTTGACAGTCGATGTTTTTTCAGGTTCTCGCCTGGAAGCAAGGAATAAGTATGACGCTGGCAAACCTTTACAGACAAGCAAATACTGTGTACATCAAAAGGTTTGGATGTCTCCAACAATGTCAGACGCATCGCCAATACGTCATAAATCCCGCAGGGTCTTCGCGCAAGCCCAGGACCGAGAGTTAGCCCCAGGTCCTGTTTCCTCTAATTTGTTCTGCTGTGGCCTTTTCGCCAGCGAACGGAACTTGGAGTGCTCCAGCCTTCAGGACCACGGCAAGGTCCAACATTGGCACTCGGTTTTTTCAGCTGTGTGTTCGCAGCGTGTAGAAATAAGTGTTGCCAACCTGCAGCCAAGGTAGCTTTGAGGGACTTTGGACGGTGAACACCAGCTGTGACCGGCATTTTCACCTTCAAGCCAGTCCTTTCGACTAGCATAGCATTTCAACTCGACGTGTCTACTCCTGCTTCTCCCTATGGGATCGAGCGGCACGAAAGCTCAAAAGAGTTTGAGGATGCATCATTAGCAGCTCAGGCAAAATCAAACTTCTGACCAAAATGAAGTCGTGGAGTACGTCTCCGACGTCTCCCCTCCTTGACAGTCAGCCTGGACGGTAGCATACCCGGGGCTCCCTGCTCTGTCATGTCCAGGGATGGCCTCTCAGAGGTTCCCGGTCGAATTAAAGTGACCCTATCAGAGGAAAGCCGAAGGTTTTTTGAACGTAGGCGCCCGTTTGGCTGACTGGGAAGATCTTTCCAGATTCCCATGCCCAGTTCAAAGCCGGACGGCTTTGTGAACCTGGTGATCATAATGAGCA